GCCTTGGATCGACGGGGCGGGCGCGGTCGATGGACAGCTTGTCCACAACCGCTATCATAGGTACATGGGAAAAGGGGAGAGAAGGAGGGGGAGAAACATCTGACAGGGAGGACCACCAGTCCTCCCTTCTCCCCCGCCCTACCGTAATATCGGAGGGCACCAACTATACACCAACACCGATCCTGGCCCAGGATCACCCTGGGCCCAGGATCGGTGTATATGCCTTCTTGCGCAAGGCAGGAGGGCGTATACACCGATCCTGGGCCCAGGGTGATCCTGGCCAGGATCGGTGTTGGTGTATAGTTGGTGCCTTCCTATAATACCTATGTTAGTGGTGGTGGAGAATCTGCCCATCACGGTCGCTCGATCGATTTCTAGTGAAAGTACAGTGGTATAAACACACAATCCTCGGAGGTCCGTGCGGACCTCCGATTTTTGTTTTATGCTTGTGTCATTGTTCGTTACCCTAGGCTGATGAATCGACCCATGGAGGTCCTAGCAATCATTGATTGATCCTACCATTGTTCGTTACCCTAGATTGATTGATCCTACCATTGATTGATGATTGTTTTATGTTTATGTCATTGTTCGTTACCCTAGATGGATCGCTGGAGGTCTTCTGTTCCTAGCAATCGATGGGCTGGTCGAAGTCATCACCTTCACCGTCATCGCTGCCGTCGTGCCGGCCCATCCTGGTCCTCGTTGTCTAGAGCAGGCGCCATGGGGAAAACATAAACAGGGCTCCCCAGTGTTGAGCGCCCTCATGTGTGGTGTGCATCGCGGGCTCTGGGGTTGCATCATACCAAGCCCGCCCAAAGGTTGACGCGCCACGTGCGCCAACGCACGGGATTCGAATGCTTTGATCACCCATGTTCCACGCGCGGCGCCAGCATTGCCATCCCCTTCAGTGTTCGCGCGTTCGTGGCGCTGATGCGCACTCACAGTATCATTATATCGCGCTACGTGTTTGCATCCAGTGCACATGTCACATCGGTATTCCTAAACCCCTATTCCCGCTCCCTGGCGGAACGCGCATGGGGAGTAAAGGGGGGGGGAGGGGGAAGGGGAGGATGACTGAGGCGGACTTGCGCCCAAGCGGAAGAGAGAAGGAGGAGGAGGAGGAGGAGGAGGGGAGGAAAAGGAAGGAGGGAGGAGGAGGAGGAAGGAGGAGGGTGGAGGAGGAGCAGGAGGAGGAGGAGGAGGAGGAGGAGGAGGAGGAGAGGAGGGGGAGGGGGAGGCGGCGATGGAGGCGGCGATGGAGCAAGGATACCCATGGCGACAAGGAGGATGCAGAGGAGGACGAGAAACCAGATAAGGATGGAGGTGGATTTCGAGAGGGATGAGAAGGAGGAGGCCGCCATTTTGCACACACACACACACCATGTTTGCTCCGCTTGGACGCACTAGGCCGCCGACCTTTCCCGATTGCGTGCGCATGGGGCGACGCGCTCCCTTTCTGGCTTGTTTTTGCAGCAGGTGTGTTTTCTTATATTTGTGCGATGTGATGGTGGATCGTTCGGCCTGACCACTAAACAGCCGGTCGTTGAAGGTAGGTCTGTTTGGATTCCCACGGGTCCACGTGCCGTGTGATGTATCTCGGGTTGTGCACCTTGCGTTGTTGTTGGGCCGTCCGTCTTGCGTACTCCGCTCAGCCTGCTCTTCCACTGTGAGCAGATGCGCGCTGGCCTCACGCAGGCTCGCCCGCTTCCGCCGCATCCATGCCCGCGGCGCCCCTGAACCTTGGAGGAGACCGCGGTGTTGGCCCGTCGGCGTTCTTCATGATCCACAGGGTTCCCGTCTGCTGCTCGCTCGCTTGCGCCCTCCTCCACCTCCTCTCTCCCTCCCTCATCCTCCGCCCTCCTCCTCCTCCTCCTCCTCCTCCTCCTCCTCCTCGTCTCCTCCACTTCCTCCTCCCTCCTTCCGCCTCCCTCATCCCTCCCCCTTCCTCCTCCTCCTCCTCCTCCGAACCTCTCTCTGCTTGTCTGCCCCCCTGCTCCCACCCCCCGCCTCCCTTTGAGCAGGAGAAGCCCTTCTCCATCTGGGAGGCCCTGGACGAGGCCATCACCATCGACCGCGCGACGCTCGCGAAGGCGCCTCCCTGTCGCAGGCGACGAAAAGAATGAGCACAGGATTCCCACGTCCCCCAATGATGAGGCAGGAGGGCAAAGAGGAGATGGGGAGGGAAGGCTTGGCTGCGCCGAGGACCGAGGATCCCACGCAGCCCCAGAGCGGGAACGTACAAGTCTCTGGGCTCCCAACAGAGAGCAATGACGTTATCAGCTCTGAACACCAAAGTTCCCAAGAGCGAAGGGTGCCATGAGCCATCTCCCGCAAGTTCCTGAAGTGCTCTTTCTGTTTCCGTGCCGGCCCAGGTCTAATGTATTGATTTTCGGCCATGTTTGGCCCACGATTGCCCAAGTCGGCCCCAAGAACGCACAAGACGCCCATGAACCACAAGGTCGTTTTCTTGGGCCTCCAGGAGGCCCAAGGACGGCATCAGGGAGGCTCCTTCACGGCATTAGGGAGGTCCACGGGACCCCTGGACAGCCCACCAGCTCTCAAAGCGAGCCCAAGATGGCCTTTCCCTGAGGAAGACGTACATTAGTCCCAACCATTCTGTGGTGTTGGGCCTCAGTGCTTGCACTGAAAGAGTCCCGGCCGATTTCGGTGGGTTCCGAGTTCTCAGGTTCCCGGGTTCTTTGTCGATCTCCTTATCGATCCCTTTATCGATCTCACGAGTCATTATCGATCTCGTGATCGATCTCACTATTCATCTCAACTGATCTCACCATCGATCTCATCAAACCATCCACTGATTGGGCTCTTCTCTGGTGTAATGAAGAGACAGCGCCCCGCGTTCCTCCTCCTCCTCCTCCTCCTCCTCCTCCTCCTCCTCCTCCCGCTGCCCCCTCCTCCTCGCTCCTCCCGTCACCCCCCTCACTTAGGCACACCCCTCACACGTTTGGTGGCCCCATAGGGAGCTCCACCGAAGGCCCCAGTGGCAGGGTCCGCATGCGGTTCCCCGCTCATTTCGGCACACCCCTCACACGTTTCGTGGTCCCATAGGGAGCTCCGCCGAAAGCCCCAGTGGCAGGGTCCGCATGCGGTTCCCCACTCATTTCGGCGCCCTCCTCACACGTTTTTTGGCCCCATCGGGAGTTCCACCGAAGGCCCCAGAGGCAGGGTCCGCATGCGGTTCCCCGCACATTTCGGCACACCCCTCACACGTTTCGTGGCCCCATGGGGAGCTCCGCCGAAGGCCCCATTGGCAAGGTCCGCATGCGGTTCTCCGCCCGTTTCGGTACACCCCCCACGCGTTTTGTGGCCTCATCGGGAGTTCCACCGAAGGCCCCAGTGGCAGGGTCCGCATGCGGTTCCCCGCCCATTTCAGCACACCCCTTTCATACAGACACATCGGGAGTTCTACCGAAGGCCCCAGTGGCAGGGTCCGCATGCGGTTCCCCGCCCATATCGGCACACGCCTCACACGTGTCGTTGTCCCATAGGGAGCTCCACCGAAGGCCCCAGTGGCAGGGTCCGCATGCGGTTCCCCGCTCATTTTGGCACACCCCTCGCACGGTTCGTGGCCCCAAAGGGAGGCCCGTCGAACGATGGATCCAGAACGCGGTATCCACAATTGCTCATGGTTGGGTCATTCGTCAGGCTAATTAGTAAATTTGTTTCTCCCGTTTTGAAAAGAGCACCGTGGTCTCCATCATTCACTCCTCCCCCCGCCTCCTTCCTCCCTCCTTTCTCCTCCTCGTTTTCTTTCTCCTGGGAGGCCTCCTGGCAGCCTTGGAGGCCCAGCGCAGTGACGTATTACGCGGATCACCACGAGTCCTCGCCGTCCTCTGGGGGGTTGCGATCTGCGAAACTGTCGCCACTTTCGTTGGCTTTCTGGGAGGTCCAGCGGAGGTACGTCTTACGCAGATCACCACGGGACCACGCCGGACCCCGGGGGAGGGTGTCTGCGATCTGCGAAACTGTCGCCCCCGGGGGAGGGCCAGCGCAGTGACGTCTTACGCGGATCACCGCGAGTCCTCAACGTCCCCCGGGGGAGGGTGGCTGCGATCCGGATTACCACGAGACCTCGCTGTCCCCCGAGGGGGGCTGCGATCTGCGAAACTGTCGACAGTGACGTGTGTTCTTGGGTGGGCCAGCGGAGTGACGTTTTACGTGGATGACCACGAGACCTCGCCGCCCTGTGGGGGTTTGCGATAGGCTTCTAGGAGGGCCAGCGGAGTGACGTCTTGAAAACATCACAACGATAGCTCGCCGTCCCCAGGGGGGCTGCGATCTGCGAATCTGTCGCCACTTCTGTGGACTCCTGGGAGGCCCAGCGGAGGTACGCCTTACGCAGATCACCACGAGACCTCGCCGGCCCCTCGGGGGCTGCGATCCGTGAAGCTGTCGCCACTGGTCCCATGAGGCATGGGCGGCCAGGTACATGGACCTAGCGGCAGTCAGGCACAGGGCTGAGCACATGAGGCACAGGCAGGTGTGATTCCAGCGGACGGATAAGGACGGAGAACCTTTTCTGAGGGCGTTTTTGTGTCCTTAGATTGTTCGGCACCCTTGCAGAGAGCGCTGTCCTGCAGTGCGAACACATCGCAAGTTGCTGCTACTCCCACGAATTATGTCTCCAATTGTCCCTCTTCCACATGTTTCCACGCCCCCTCGTGGTTGCTCTCCTGCCAACGACCTGACTCTAAAGAGTGACGCCGCATATGTGAAACATCTGACTCTGGCCCGACGTTTTGTGGCGAAGCGTTCAAGGGCATTCCGGATAATTCAATGCTTGCTTTTTATATTGAGCGATCCGATGTATATTCGCCACATGCCTTACAGGGTTGATTACGTCCCCGGGTTCTTCTGTGTCAGAACAGCGTCCAAGACGGCCCAAGACTACCCCAGCATCGCTCCAAGACGGTCCGTAGCCATTTTTTTGCTCAAGCCACCAGGACTGAAGCCGGCCACCCGTCCTCTGCGCCCGTGCCAGGATGGCGTTTTTGCTGGCGCGCGCTTTTGGGGCTCCTGCGCCCCCGACGGTGGACACCGCCGCCTTTGGCTCGCCGCAGACGCTGTCAACTGCCGGGTTCGAAACCGAGAATGTTTGGCGCGGGCGGGCTGTGTCGACGGACTCGGCGACGGAGACGCACGGAGTTCGCTCTGAGGACGGCAGCACCTGCCAGGGCCGGCTCCTGGCCCTGAGCTCGGAGGACATGCGTCGCTGCGGCAGCAAGGACTCCGTCGACCTGCGCAAGAGCAGCGCCCGGGCGGAGGCTCTCCGGAGGGCGGAGATGCTGGCGCGTTTCGACCACAGCTACGATGGCCGCAGGCGCTGAGGAGCACCTGCAGCGTGGCTGGCCCCGCCGGGCACGCACAGGGAGAGCACCCCCTCGCGAGCTTGATCGTCCGATAGCTTCGCTACATCTCAGTGCCCCCGGGTCTGCCTGCCAGTCTCCTTCTTCCGGTCTCCGTCTTCACCGGCAGTGTTGAGTGCTGCCATGTGTTGCGGCGTTGGTACTGTTCTCTCCGTAGGAACAGACATTTTAAAAGCAGGTGTAAGGTTCGTGTTTGAATGTGGTGGACAGCTGGTACGCGAGATATGGGAGCGCCTCGAGGTCATTCAGAAAAGGGCAATCAGTGAGTGCGGCCAGCATCGCCACAGCAAGATTATCTCAGATGAGCGGCACCAGCTCAGTGTTAAGCAGCTCGCGCACACATCAACTCATCGATTCTCCATGCAATCATTTCTGGCGCACTGTAAGCTCATAGTGCCGTCAGGTAATTGCGTTCCTGGTGAAGCACTAGCGTTTTGCCTTGCTGCTAGCCTGGAGCCCTGTCATACTTGTCAGAATTGTTGACGCTTCGCGTATCCCCACCAGCCCATCCAGAAACGATGCTCAGGGGAGTTGAGGTGATCAGGGAAGTCGGGGAGCATGCAGAATAACAAAGGGCGGGGGAAGCTGTCACAGACCCCGAGAGGGGGAGGATGGAAGAGGAGTCGTCGTCGTCGTCGTCGTCGTCGTCGGAGGAGGAGGAGGAGGAGGGGAAGAGGAGGAGGAGGAGGAGGAGGAGGAGGACGGAGAAGGAGGAAGAATCGGAGGAGGAGGAGGAGGAGGGGAAGGAGCTTCTTGGGGGTCTTTTGAGGGCCTCTTGGAGGGCTTTTTGGGCGCCTTGGGGCATCTTGGGCGCCTCTTGGGACCCTCTTGAGGCGCTCTGGGGAGCCTTCGGGGCGCTTTTGGGGCCATCTTGGAGGGAGTCGATCAAACAAGAGGGGGGGTTTAATTAGCGCCCCCCCTCGGAAGCCCCTAAAATCGCCTCTTGGACCCCTCTTGGAACGCTCTTGGAGTGCTCTTGGGCGCTCTTGGGGCCGTCTTGGGGCTCTTTTGGGGCTCTCTTGGGGCCCTCTTGGGCCATCTTGGAGCCATCTCCAGGCCTCGGATGGCCATCGGAAGCGAAAAGGCGAGAAAGCAAAAATCATTGATTTTCCTTAGGTTTTGGGACGATTTTGGCCTCTTCGGGGCCTCCTTGGGGAGCTGTTTGGCCACTTGGAGTTATCTTGGGGCCGTCTTTGGGCTTCTTGGAACCATCTTAGGAGCCATCGTGAGCGATCTTGCGCTATCTTGAGCCATCTTGGAGCTCATCTTGGGTTCTCTGAGGCGCTCTTGGAGCCGTCTTGGGCCATCTTGGACGCTCTAACTACCCGCGGCCCCCCCCGTCCAGGTCCAGGGGAGGGGGTAGGGGGAGGGGTAAACCCCTCCCCAAGGGGGAAGAGGGAGGGGTGGAAGAGGATCTGTTCTAGACCACCTACGCCCAGAGGGCTGGTGGGATTCGGCTCGTGACGGTCTGGCCAGAGCTCTCGGTCGGCCGTCTCCCTTGAGCGTGGTGCAGGAGAGGGAAGGTGAGGATGGGGAGATGTGGTCTGGGAGGGGGGGACGGGGGTCGTGGTACCCATGAATGGCGCATGCTGGGGGTGCCCAGCAGCGTCACTGTCACGTCCTCCGCGCAGATGCCGCGCAGGACAATCCGTCTGGCGCACACCTCACGCCATGGTCGGGGTTGATCCATCGACCGTTTCAAATCGCCACCAGCCTTCATGCTCCTGCCTCTCCGAAGGGGGCCGCCGCTCGCGCGTCCGGGGCCCGGGAGGAGAGCAGAACCATGGAAGGATGAACAGGGGGAGGGGGAGGAGGAGGAGGAGGAGGAGGAGGAGGAGGAGGAGGAGGAGGAGGAGGAGGAGGAGGAGGAGGAGGAGCGGAGGAGGAGGAGGAGCGGAGGAGGAGGAGGAGCGGAGGAGGAGGAGGAGGAGAGATTGCGAAAGTCTCCTGGTGTCTGGTCAGAGTAGTGGCGCGGCCTTCGCGCCGCAGGCGACCTGCCTGCTTCTCCACTGCATTGGGACGCAGGTTGGCTCGCACCGCGGACTTCCAACGAGTTCTGATGCCTCGCTGCTAGAGTGCCGTGCGGACCAGGAGCGGGCGGAGCAGGGGGGAGGAGGAGCGGAACCTTGCAGTGGGGACGTCGGGGTTTCGGCTCACTTCTTGGCTGCAGTCACGGCAGCCTCGCGCCACGCCATCTCTTGGGCTATCTCTGGATACAGGCAAAGGCACCTCGCGCTTGACCCTCTGCGCCTCATCCGCGTTCTCGCGCATTCTATGAATTCAGGACCCTCTGCACTGCCATGCTCGCTCATGCTGTTGCTCTCGCGATTGCTGCCCAGTGGCGCGCAGCCCAGGCTGAGCAACAGGCTCTGCCGTCCGGCTGTACATACTCTCGGCCCACCGCTTGCTAGAGTGCAATCACATTATGCTGCATGTGCAGCCAATGCAGCTTCTGCCCTCGACCCACTCGCTAGCGTGTCGCTGTGAGCGTTCGGCCCAGCATGCTTCTAGTTGTGGCACCGAGTGGGCACCAACTGGGGGCAGATTCGCTGCAGCGTTGACGAGTACTCACCTGCATGTACTCTCAGCTCAACTTGACGTCGTCCTGCCTCGGAGAAAGATCAAACGCCACAAGACGGCCCAAGAGGTCCCCAAGGCCCCTAAGGGCTTCAAATATTCCCAAGAGAGCCCCGAGAGGGCCACAGGAGGTCTCTAAGAGGGCTCGAGAGGGCCCCAAGACGGCCCAAGCCCCCCAAGACTGCCCAAGAGGGCCCCTGGACGGCCCAGCAGGGCCCAACGATTGCCCCAAAGATCCCCAAGAGGGCCCCCAGGAAGATCCGGAATCGCAATACACATTGATTTTCGCAAGGTGTTTTGCTCGACTTGTCGTACGTCTCACCAAAGCCTTAAAACCAGCACGGGTCCAAGACACTAAGCCAGCGACCTCACGCCTTGGAATTCCACGCGCTTTCCGTCCTCGTGCCGAGCAGGTAACGGACAGAGCGAGGTATTAGTGATGACGTTTTGGTGGGGCGAAGCTCTTGAGGGAGTGGTCCAGGGGAGGGGCGAGGCGCGTTCGACTGGGATGACGGAAAGAGCGAGGTACGAGCGAGTGAAGTTGATCAGGGGCGAAGCCCTCCTTAGGGGGAGTGCAGAGGGGGGTTGAGGCGGGATTGTTGGGTTGGTAATGGCCCGTTTCCTTAGGATTTTTTCATGTGAAGGGGCTCCCGGGCGGCAGGGAGCGGTGCCCCTTGCGGGGCGGCAGCTCAGGCGGTGGCCTTCTGCCTGGTCGTCCTGCTCCTGATCAGCAGCTACTTCATACACCAAGAGGCCACATCGGCGGCGCGTTGTCATGATCACCATCAGCCGTCATCGCTCAGCATCGCAGCATCATCATCAGCATCAGCATCATCAGCATCATGATCAAAGAGCATCATCACTATCAGCAGCATCATAATCACAAGCAGTATCAGCATCGTCATCATCACCATCACCATTACTATCACCACCATCATCATCATCATCATCATCATCATCATCATCATCATCATCATCAGCATCATCATCATCATCATCATCACCATCACTATCACTATCACCATCACCATCATCATCATCAGCATCATCATCATCATCATCATCATCAGCATCAGCATCAGCATCATCATCAGCATCAGCATCAGCATCATCATCATCAGGAGGCCACGTCGGCGGAGCGGCGTAGTGTCAGAAGCTTTCACGAGGAACCCTAAGTTCCGCCTGATGCGAGAGACACGTCAGAGAACTTTACAAGGTCTCGTGCGGTAACCTGGTTGACGGTGTATTGCTGGCTGCGCGTAAGCCGGCGGCGCAGCTTCAAGCGAGGGACAAAACACGGCACAAGCATAAGCTTTTGGAGGTCAGCGCGGATTGCCTGGATCGGCACCTGGGCGCCCCTGGCGGCGCCTCTGGTACCGCCCCTGGCGCACTCCGCGCGTCAGGGAGGGTGGGGTCCAAGACATCCGCGCGGACCTCCGACATTTTAAGTGTATCAGGTTTCTCTGTTGTTTACACGACCAGAATCCAGAGGTTTGAAGACCCGATGATCAAGCACCCCCAAGGTTGAAGCCCCCCCAGGTTTGACCACCAACACCCGAGGCTTTGAAGGACCCCGCCGACGGCCGCGCCCCTCGCCCCAGGCACCTGGTGGCTCGACAGAGTCCGAGGCACGGCACCCCCGAGACCAGGGCGGTGCTGAGCGGGGCGGGGCATGCCACCTGGCGCGAGCGAGGAGTGGAGCATGCTTCGGCCCGCGGCCCCCCGCTTGTGTGGGGGGGGCCTGAGGTCAGGAGGGAACAAAAACACACAGGCACAATTCATCGTCGATTCCCCAGAAAATAAGGGAAGATCTGGGAAGTGGGGGGGAGGCGAACACCCAGAAAATATGGGGAAACTATAAGGGATATGTTTATGTGTTTGTATTCATTTGTGTGTCCTGGGGCCCCTTCATTTGGCCCGCGGGTAATATGGGAAAATATGGGAAGTGGGGGGGGAAACAAACACCCAGAAAATATAGGGGAAATATGGGGAATCCTTTTATTTGTGTGTATTTATTTGTGTGTGCTGGGGCCCCTTGATAAGGGACGGGGTTTCACATCCAGGGCCACTGCCCGCGGGTTCGCCCTCGGGGGGCCCCGGCGGGCGGTGGGAACGGACACGCTCGGGCCCCGGGGGGCTGTTGGGGAGGGGCGGCACGTCCACCGCCCGTCGAGGGTCCTGAGAGTGCCTCGGAGAGGGCGCGAACCTGAGCGTGAGTACGGTCGAAGCGAGGTACGAGGCCGAGGTCGGCTCGGGGAGGGTAGCCTGATGTTCTTCGTGTCTGCGGGATGCTCTCGTGCATCCGAGGGGGAGGGTACCCTCGCATGCTCTTCGTGCTGGCCAGCGGTGGGCCTCCCTTCCGTACGGGGTGGACTGTGGTCCAG